CCATTTTTTGGTTGCAGCCATCATTGTTGTTTGGCGGGCCCAGGCTGGGGATTCGAACCCGCCACCTTAGGTTTATGTGGCTGGCGCCTTAGCCGATTGAGCCACAGGCACCGAGCCAAATCCAAGTTTTTTAAGGTTTAACTATACATTGAAAACCATAAAACAACATTGGAAAAAACCTAAAAACATGGCGTGGAAAGGCATGCCATGTTTGTGGATTGGAAGATCTAATATTGTTATGATAGAAATACTCCTTAGGCTAATGTACAGACTCACTGCAACCCCTACCAAATCTTAGCTGTCTTTTTCAAAGACAGAAAGATGATAAGCAGATTCTAAACTTCATATGGAAATGCAAGGAAGCAAGAATAGCCAATGTCATTCTGATGAAAGAAGAACAAAATTGATGAACTTTCCCCAATTTCAAAAGTTATGGTGATCAATATTGCATCGTACCGAGCTGGGCATGGTGGCCCACGCCTAAGTCCTAGCACTCTGGTTGGCTGAAGTGGGAGGGTCACTTGAAGCTCAGGAGATTGAGACAGACTCCTCCCTACTCTACCAAAAATAGAAACATTAGCTAGACATTGTGATGGGTGCCTGTAGTCCCAGATACTTGAGAGCCTGAGGCAGGAGGATTACTTGAACCCAGGAGTTTCAGTTTGCTATGAACTACGCTGCCATGGCACTACAGCCTGGAGCAACAGAATGTGACTCTGTCTCAAAAAATAGTAATAATACTGCATGGTGTTGGCATAATGATAAACATACGGGGCAATGGAATAGAACTGAAGAGTCTAGAAATAAGCCTTGACAAGGGTGCTGAGACAATTCAATAGGTAAAGAACAGTCTATACAAGAAATGGTACTGGGATAACTGGACATCCACATGCCCAAGAATGAAGTTGGACCCATGCATCACACTACACACAAAAATTAACTCCAAACAGACCACAGACCTAACTGAGAAAGCTAGACCCATAACTCTTCTACAAGAAAACACAGGAGTAAACCTTCGTAAAATTGGGTTAGCCTATTTCTTTTTAGCTATGAAGTCCAAAGAACAACAAAAGGTAACAGATAAATGAGCCTTTGTCAAAATTCAATCTTTTGTGCTTCAAAGGACAAATAAAGGAAAAAGACAATCTAAGGGAAAAAATCCGCTATCTAAGAAAAGAACAAATATATAAAGAATTGGCTTAAAACTCATTGAGGAAAAGACAAACAACCCGATATAAAATTAGCAAACAACTGGCTCTTGCTCAGGCTTGTCTTGAACTCCTGACCTCAACTAATCCTCCCACCTTGGCTGGTGGTATAGGCATGAGTCACTGGAGCAGCCCGAATAAACATTCCTTTTTTTTTGCAGTTTTTGGCCGGAGCTGGGTTTGAACCCACCACCTCCAGTATATGGGGCCAGTGCCCTACTCCTTTGAGCCACAGGCACTGCCCAATAAACATTTCTGTAAAGAAGATACACAAGTGGCTAGGAAGCACATGGAAAGATGCTTATATCATTAGTTATTAGAAAAGTGAAAATTCAAATCACCATGATACCACTTTGTGCCCCTAGGATGGCAATTAAAAAAAAGATAAACAAGTCTTGGTGAGAATGTGAAGAAATTAGAACACTCACATACTGCTGGTAGCAATGAAAATGGTGCAGTCACCTTGGGAAATAGTTTGGCAATTCCTTAAAGAATTATACATAAAATTATGTTTAATAATTTAAACATAGGGCCACGTATGTGGCTCTGTGGATAGGTCGCTGGCCCCATATACGGAGGGTGGTGGGTTCAAACCCGGCCCCAGCCAGAACTGCAACAAAAAAATAGCCAGGAGTTGTGGTGGGCACCTGTAGTCCAGGCTACCTGGGAGGCTGATGCAAGAGAATCGCCTAAACCCAAGAGCTGGAGGTTACTGTTAGCAGTGTGACACCACGGCACTCTACTAAGGGTGATAAAGTGAGACTCTGTCTCTACAAAAAAAATTAATAATAATAATTTAAACATAAATTACGTTGATCTAACAATTCTACTCAAGTTCAACTGATTGAAGGATAAACACAAGTTAAATTTGTATGATGTGATGGAACATTTTTGATCTAGAAAGGAATATGAAATATACTGATATGTAATACAACACGGATGAACCTTGAAAACATGTTACGTAAAAAAAGCCAGATACAAAAGGTCATGTACTATAAAACTCCATTTATATAAAATGTCCAGAATAGAAACAAACTAGGCTAGCGGTTGCCAGAGCATGGAAGAAAAAAGCAAATGGATATGGGATTTGTTTTTGTTCTTAATTTTTAAAAACTTATTTATTTTTTTCTTTTAGAGACAAAGTCTCACTCTGTCACCTGGGCTAGAGTACAGTGGCGCGATCACAGCTTACTGAAGCTTTGAACTCCTGGGCTCAAGTGACCCTCACACCTCAGTGAGATGTAGCTGGCACTATAGGTGCACACAACCATGCTCAGCTAATTTTTAAACAACTTTTTGTAGAGAAGTGGTCTCGTTATGTTATCCAGGTTGGTTTTGAATTCTTGGCCTCAAGTGATCCTCCCACTTCAGCCTCCCATGGTGTTGAGATTGTAGTTCTGAGCCACTGTGCCCTATCCAGGATTTCTTTTTGCGCTGGTGAAAATGTTCAGAATTTTGATAGTGATGGAGGTTGTACAACTCTTTGTACATATAAAACCACGGAACTGGGTGGTACCTGTGGTTCAAGGAGTAGGGCATTGGCCCATAATACCAGAGGTGGTGGGTTCAAATCCGGCCTCGGTCAAAAACTGTAAAACCATTGAACTGTAGGCTTCAAAAGAGTGAATTTTATGGTATGTGGATTCTCAAAGCTATTACAAAAAAGGGGGAGCATAACTGTGTAGAAGCAGCAACAGGGATCCTAATTTTCTAGTGTAACTCTTGCTTACATATTAGTAATGCCAATTACTAGAAGATGGGAACATAGGATACCAGAGCTGGAAGGATTTAATGTAGAGATACATACAAAGGTGAAGCAGAGAAGTTGGGATGTACATTCTATTCTTTGGATAACTACTTCACTACCTGTGAAGGATGCCAAACAAGATAGTTCAAAATTATGGGGCGGTGCCTATGGCTCAAAGGAGTAGGGCGCTGGCCCCATATGCCAGAGGTGGCAGGTTCAAACCCAGCCCTGGCCCCCCCTCCAAAAAAAAACTGCAAAAAGAAAAAAAAAGATAGTTCAAAATTAGTGTTAATGAAGACATGTAGTCCAGTGCTATCCAAGAGAACAACGATGATAGAACTGAATTTTAAATTTTAAGTAAGTGAAATAGCCACATGTGGCTGGGAAATATAGGTAGGCTTTATAGGAGTAAACACAGTCATGCGTGTTCTGAGATACTCTTAAGTTTCAAATATGGATAATCAATTTCACATATTATTTATATACTGCTAAGTGGTAAAATAATGCCTGGAGCACTAATTCATGGATGTACCAAAGAACCAATAAGCATATCATCCAGCTTAATTTTCTACTTTCTCTACCGTATCATGGGATCTTAGAACGTGAACCATGAAGTCCAGAAAAGGAAAACATAGAAGTTAAGGTATGGAATCTAAGAAGTCTTTGTAATTCTACTAAAATAGATCTCTTTGGAGGTCACTTCTCAGTATCACATTATTTAAAAAAAAATAATTACCACCCAGCCATAAAAATATAGTATTTAGATACCTTTCTCTCTCCCCTACCTTACCAGGGAGCATTTGGTTCCTACGTTAGAGCAATAGACAGAACTGGTAAAGAGACTAAACATTAATATAAATTGGAACATAAGCATTTTTAAGACCAAACTCATCATTTCTCATTTTGTCAGTTATTTTTCAAGAATGATCACAACTCACTTTACAAATGGGATATACCACCATCCATTATAAGCACTTCTAATTTTTAGAAATTCTCTTCATCCTGCCATTCAAATTAAGGGAGAATATTCCCTGAACAGATGACTCCATAACCACCACTTGCTAAGACTAAAAAGATTTATCAGTAAAAGAGACAATCAAAAATTCCTAGTTATTATTCCACATTATAATACTTAAATAGATTTGGAAAAAAGTGACAGTATTAATATTTCTCTAACACGAAAGATGCATTATCTCAAAACACTGGGAGAACCCCCGAAGGTCTAAGCATTATCCGTATAACAAGGTATCATCATTTCACCCTGCAGGACTCACAAACTAGAAAGCACGGGATAGTTCATGTCATTTTCTGGACACCCTCTGGGGTAGACTGTTCTAAATACCTTTAAACACCCCATCCAAAAATGGTTTTAACAAAACCAAGTCTGAGAAAGAGAATGTGTGTTCCTAATGGCCGATCACCTGGCAATGAGTACATTCCAGCTGACTTGATTGAAATCACCTGCTTAAGTTTTTCGTTTGGTGTGTTTCTAAGAACACAAGCCGCTGAGGTCACAGTAAATGACCTCACAGGAGCCGGAAGACCTACCCAGAAGCCCCCTGGGCACATCTCTGTCACTTCCTCTGTTTACAAGGAAAAGTCCAACCTGAAGGAGGATTGCTGAGCCTCAGCCCATGTCCCCATTTCTTTAAATCAACATGTGATACCATGTCACATGTCACCTAGGCCAGAGGTCCTTAAACTTTTTAAATAGGGGGGCCAGTTCACCGTCCCTCAGACAGTTGGAGGGCTGGACTATGGGCCCTGGGATGAGTCAGCTGCTAAGCAGGACAGGCAGCAGCGGCAAAAACACCTGGCAGGCCGGATAAATGTCCTAGATGGGCTGTATGTGGCCCTCAGGCTGTAGTTTGAGGACACCTGTTCTAGGCCACTGAGAGAGTGGGCATTTTCTTAGGGTTCATGTATTTGACACAGCAGATGAAATAACCTATGAAGAACGGTACCTACCAAATTTGGAAAGAAAAATTGTAAAAGGAAGAAAACTTATCTAGGATACACAGTTAAAATAATGTTCCTCTATGGGTCTGTTGGGGAAAGTAAACTTTTCAGTAAGAATTCCAAGCATTTAACTGTGAGGAAATGCATTTAGCAGCTTTTGTATGAAATTTATCTTTCATGTTTACCATTTTTCATGACCTGCATACCTTTTTTTTTTTGAGACAGAGTCTCACTATGTCGCCCTCGGTAGAGTGCTGTATCATCACAGCTCACAGCAACCTCAAACTCTTAGGCTTAAGTGGTTCTCTTGCCTTGGCCTCACATGTAGCTGGAACTACAGGAGCCCACCACAATGCCTGACTTTTTTTTGTTTTTGCAGTCATCATTGTTGTTTAGCAGGCCCGGGCCAGGCTCAAACCTGCTAGCCTCGGTGTATGTAGCCAGCGCCTTAGCCACTGAGCTACGGGCACCGAGCTATGACCTGCACACCTTAACCTCTAACACATCTCAGAACCAGGATGAGACCTCAGAGCACAAAGCCAAAATGCAGTAGGGGGCAGGAAAGTATAATGCACTTTCAAAACGTCCATGGAAAATTCTCAGCTCTTTTCAGATGATGTAATTACCATATTGTGCAATTCTTGCCTGTTCACAATGGTGTGTTTTTAAAACTTTTAGCTTTTTAAGCAATTGCCTAGATAGGAAAGCAAACTCAATACTTCAGGAGCTTTAAACATAAACACCGCATTTGATTTAAGAAAAATCAAACAAAAACCCAGATAATGTTAAATACTCCTTATTATATTTCCTAAATTCCAGAAAGGACATACTAACATCTGAAATAACTTCTCTGGTTATGGCCTATGACCACCATGACAAGATACTTAAATGAAATGGTGCGGTGGACACGTGAGATGGCCTAGAAAAACACACGTCATGCTTTCACCTGGATAGAAAAAAAGCCATAGGAATCAAAGAAGATTTTTGCTTAAAAATAAGATCTATCTGTAAGAGACAATTCTCTTTTTAAATTCTAAAATTTAAATTAAATTAAATTAATATTTCAATATTAATATTAATATTAATAACAACTATACCTGTTTTTCTTTTTCTGTTTCTTAATTAACATCAAGTCTGCCATTTTGCGCCCCTTTAATTGACATCAAGCCTGCAACTGTTAGGCCCTGAGAACCAACATACTGTCCCTACTGTGAGCAGCACACACGGAAGTAACCAAAGCAGACCTGGACTGCTTTGAAACTGGGAGAAAAGTTAGAAATCAAACATGGGACATGACTGTTTTGCCCACCAAAAGAAAGGCGCCCTTCCCCTTGGGTGGCACTTGCTATAACACCCAGACCACTGCTGCAGGAGATTCAGAGTGCGGAGGGGAAGGCCAAGGAGGAAGCTAGGACAGAGGGCTGGGGAACTGAGGTCTATAGCAGGACACGCAAAAGGGTGCCCACCACCCCCAGCCTGATGATGCTGAACCTCTGCTCAGATGAGCGCTTCCCTCTTGACTAACATCTGCCAAGAACCACAAGCTCTGGAGCCAATGTGTTAGAAAGAGCTAACTGGGTTGTGAGCAAGCCATCTGACTAGGGAGACGTCCAATGTCTCACTGAAAGGAAATGCAGACAGGCAACAGAAAGCCGTGCGGTGGCAAAGAGAAAATTCAGATTTGCACACAACCCAAAAAGGACAAAATTTAGAAACTGTCCAAGACTCAGTGTGATGGGGGGACATCCACAGTACATTATGTTAAGGGAGCAACCTGCATCCTATTTTACGGTGGGGACTAAAGAGAGATGTTTACAAAGAAAAACAAATCTGGCCTTGATTTTATGGTTCCATTTTCACAGCAAATAGCAAATAAAAAGACAACTATGCAAATAAACTTTTTATTTATTTATTTATTTTGAGACAGAGTCTCAAGCTGTCCCCCTGGGTAGAGTGCTGTTGCATCACAGCTCACAGCAACCTCCAACTCCTGGGCTCAAGCGAGTCTCCTGCCTCAGCCTCCCAAGTAGCTGGGACCACAGGCGCCCGCCACAATGCCCGGCTATTTTTTGGTTGCAGCCATTATTGTTGTTTGGCGGGTCCGGGCTGGATTCGAACCTGCCACCTTAGGTGTATGTGGCTGGTGCCTTAGCCACTTGAGCCACAGGGACTAAGCCTAAACTTTTTTTTTTAAATGAAATTGTTTTTATTTTATTTATTTATTTATTTTTTGAGACAGGAGTCTCAAGCTGTCTCCCTGGGTAGAGTGCCGTGGCATCACAGCTCACAGCAACCTCCAACTCCTAGGCTCAAGTGAGTCTCCGGCCTCAGCCTCCCAAGTAGCTGGGACCACAGGCACTCGCCACAATGCCCGGCTATTTTGACAGATTGCAGCTGTCACTGTTGTTTTGGTGGGTTAGGCTGGATTTGAACCCGCCACCTTAGGTGTATGTGGCTGGCACCTTAGCCACTTGAGCCACAGGCGCCAAGCCTATGCAAATAAATTTAACAAAGTCATATGTTTTATCTCAGGAGTGACTGCAGTATTCCCAAGTTTAGATGTGTATGTTCAGCATTCAAAATCAGACTTAAGACCTTGTTGAAACACATCAAATAAAAGATCATGAATTTGTCAGAGAAATTATCTGCCTAAGCCATCAGCAAGCCAGAGCAAGTGGGTTAGGGAAAGCAAAGCTGGGCGTGGCATGGAGGACAGTGATGTTAGCAAACCTAATCTGCTGTTGCTGACAAGTCAAAGAGCCAAAGAAGATGGCGTAGGTTTGCTTTATGTTGAAAAAGAGCTTGAAGCTTGACTTCGGTAATTCTTATGACAGAAAAGCAGTGAATGTACAGACTGCTGAAGTTACACAGCCTCTCCTCCTTCACTCTGTTTTTGTAAGCACAAAACAAGTGATAAGACAGCAAGCTGACATTCAAGAAAGCCTGTTTCCTCTTGAGGTTGGCCTCTTATTAGGCTCATAGCTCATAATTTCTGGAAATACAGCCAAGTACCATGATTTGTGATGATAAAACAATGGTTAGATTGTGTTCCAATCTTCCCATTCCTAGGGCAGGAAAAGTGTGTCATATTTCATTAAAAAATGTCCAAGACAAAGGTCAAAATAGTACTGAGTACTTAAAAAGCTGACTTATTTAGAGTAGCTGTCTCTAAAGTACAAATAATGAGAAAATATTAGGACTTCTGTTTATATATTTTGCAGTGAGCTTTGTAATGTTTATACCATGTTGGTAGCACGGGTGTGAACTTTGTATATAAACACGTGCATATATATCAGGGAATTATGCTTTCACAGGGTTCCAGAAGCAAAAAACTTGCAGCTCTCATGGGAAAAATTAAGTTGTCCAGATAGCTCTTCTCCCACTACACTGGAGAACGAAAGCATCCTATACTTACGGTCATTTTCTTCTTGTATCTGAATATTAACCAAGTCGATACAATTCTGAATTTCATTCCAGCTTAAGTTATCTTGTCCTTGGGATAAGGCTTCCAGTTTCACAGCGAGTAGTGAGTCTGCATAACTGTGGAAGAGAAAACAATCACGATGCCAAGCAGAGACATTTGCTCTTTGTTCACGTTATTATCTTAAAAATGCTGCATGGCCATGTGGATGTCCCGAGATTGCAGAGTGTCGAAAGGCAAATAAAAATATCTCATGGAGCCTTGCAACATGCACCAACCTCACCTGTACTAATGGCATTTTCTCTTTCAAGTACAAGTATTTTTTGTTCAATGAAAGTTCTTCAAAATCTGTGTATCTAACCTTGAGCAAAACTAGAAATCCTTAACTATCAAATCGCTTTTCCCCCCTAGTTACTAATTTCCCAAGTCCTTGCAAGTCTTGGTTCTGTTCCATTCCAAATGATAAAATTCAGAGTTATGGCTCTCAGTAGGTCCATCGTTAAATTTTATTATTTCTCTTGTTCCTTCCAGAATCTAGGTCTTGAAAGGCCTTTTTTTCCTACTGTAACCCTAATGTAGCTGAGCTGCCTTGAGGCCTAATATGCCCACTGAGGAATCGGATAAAATGCAAATGTAGTTCCAGAAAGCTTGCTAAATAACAGAAATCTTCAGTGTATGTTTTCTTGGAGTGGTGGGACGTGAATTGAACTGCAATAGCCTAAATTTCTTCTTCATTCTCCAAAGGTTCCATAGCAGCTACACAAAGATCTCTTTCCTGTGTCCCGTCACTGTCATGCATGCCCACATGTCACTCCTGACTCTCCCCAGTGGGCAGCTGGCTAAAACACAGAGTTGGGTTGACCACTCCAATTATTTTTTCTCGTCTGGAGAAATTTCAGGGAAAAAATGATCTATACTGATGCCATCGAGAAACTTTTATTTGTAATCAAATTTTTCATTTAAAAATCACAGAACCAATGTTCTATGGCTAACATGAATGATTCTAGCCAAAAGTAAAGACACTCAATGATTTGGTTTTACATCTTTAGGGAAATAAAGAACAGTCTTCTATGTACATACAGATTCATTATGCAGTTTGACTTCTGCATAGCCTCTGAGGAATTTCCTAACAGTTGCAATTAAAAGTCGTAATATTGAGTCTAAAAACTGTTTCCTGTTTGTAGTGACCAATTTTCTCAAAATTTTGCTTACAGGTGCCATTGAAGTGTCTTCTGTAGAGAGTAAAACATTCAAAATAGGAAGTAGTGGTAATGATTTGTCTGTAGCTGAACGAGGCCTTACCAAGTGCAGATATGAAAACTGGCCTGATTTTATGTCTGAGATTTGTGCCTTACCCAAGAGCTAGAAACCTAAAAAAATACTTTGCTACACTGGTAATATGCAATAACTAACACGGATAAATGGCAGCTTACAGAGGAAGACGATTCTAAAAGTGCAAAGTCTTCATGGGCATTTCATACACTTCAAGTCTAAATGATGACCTAACAGGAATGAAATGAGCAAGCTAAGGATAAACACAGAAAAAAAACTACAATTACTCATCATTTCTTTAGATAGGAACAAAAATGAGCTAACGGGAAAAGATTTTAGGAGCAGCATGAGAGAGCTCCACAGGTTTTCTAAGTAACTATTCGTCTTTGGAAGTGAAGATATTGACTTTGGGCAAAATATTCCATAGCCTACCCAATAAGTCTCTGTCCTTTCTTCTCACTCTTTCGATCAGAGCTCTCTTCACCTCATGCCATGGACTGACCAGTAAGCCTACTAGTCTAACAATTGATCCGTGGATGTTTTAAAAGGATTAATAATTCAATTTATTTCAGATGTTTACTAAGCACTCCCCACATGAAAAACAGTGGTAGACACTACAGAGATGTTCGGAGGAGCAAGATTCTTCCTTTACTGCTGGGAGCTTTCAGGCCAGTGGGTAAGATGCAAAAACTCAGAAAGGGTGTAAGTGCAGAGTCCAGGAAAAACTAGGGGAGTAGAGACAGTCCCTAAGGAGGTTGAAAGGAAAAAGTGGACGGTAATCCCTATTGGTGGAGAACTTTCCCTGGGCAGGCTCTGAACCAAGCGCTTAATCCTCAAAATAGTCCTGCAAATGCAGATAAACCTTTCTTATTTTTGTGCTGTATAGATGAAGAAAAAAGAGCTCAGCTAGGGGGCGCCAAACTCAGATATTTTAGGCCCCAAGGCTTAGGTAGCTCTAACCAATCACGCTAGGTCCTCTACTATCTGTAAACTGCTGGGGGAGGAGAGGGAGGGAGAAGCATGATACAGGATAGGCAGGAAGTGGAAGCTCCAACACTGTGCTTGGGTAAGTTGGGTGAATACCAACTTCCTGCTGGTGACAGGACCATACACAGAAACAGAAAGACAAGAAAGTACATAGTGTGATTGAATCCAGTGTGGCTGAGGGATGAAATACCAGTAGGGATGTAGCTGGAGCTGAGGTGGGAACATAGTTTAGACTAGAGCAAGGAGTCTGCTCTCAATTCAGGTGAGAACATGGAATAATCAAACAGGAGAACTGTGAACTTGGCTGCATCTTAGAACAATTGATCTTGGAACAGTGTACGTCCAGAGTTAATACTAACCTATACAATTGACACAAGATAATAGCAAGAGAATCTTTCTGGGAGCTGGGTGTGGTAACTCAGTGCTAATAATCCTAGTACTTTGGTAGGCTGAGGTGGGAAGATTGCTTGAAGCCAGGAGTTTTTGAGACCAGCCTGAGCAACACAGTGAGACCCCAACTCCATGAAAAATTTAAAAATTACCCAGGATGATGGTGTGTGCCTGTAGTCCCAGGTACTGGGAAAGCTAATGCAGGAGGATTGAGCCCAGGAGTTCAAAGTTGCAGTGAACCGTGATCATGCTGCACTCCACTATATTGAACAACAGAGTAAGACCCTATCGCTTAAAAAAACCCCACAACTTTCTGGGAAAAGACAACCCCAAGAGAGGAAGTTATAATGAATAGGTAGAAATTTTGCAAGAATTTGTCAAGGTGGTCTTGTCCAGCACCCTTATGCGATGAAGAACCTGCACTCCATGTGGAAGGGGCCTGGTCACAGCAATGTTTCTCAGACTTAGTCTACCAGCCTGGGATTCCAAGAACCCAGGTTAAGAAACTGACTTTGGGCTCGGCGCCTATGGCTCAACCGGCTAAGGCGCCAGCCACGTACACCTAAGGTGGCGGGTTCGAATCCCCAGCCCGGACCCGCCAAACAACAATGACGGCTGCAACCAAAAAATAGCTGGGCGTTGTGGCGGGCGCCTGTGGTCCCAGCTACTTGGGAGGCGGAGGCAGGAGACTCGCTTGAGCCCAGGAGTTGGAGGTTTCTGTGAGCTGTAATGCCATGGCACTCTACCCAGGGGGACAGCTTGAGGCTCTGTCTCAAAAAAAAAAAAAAAAAAAAAAAGAAACTGACTTTGGAAATGAAATGCTAATGTTGTGGAAGGATCATTTGGGGCCAATACAAATGTCAATATTAGATCCAAAGTGCACTCCCAAATCTCATGTCAGTATGGGGGCCATTTGAGTGATCCAGAAAGTACTCAAATAAAAATTGTTGTTGTTGTTGTTTTGAGACAGAGTCTCACTCTACCCTGGGTAGAGTGCCGTGGTGTCACAGCTCACTGCAACCTCAACTCTTGGGCTTAAGCAATCCTCCTGCCTCAGTCTCCCCAGTAGCTGAGACTACAGGCACCCGGCACACCACCTGGCCAGTTTTCCTATTTTTAGTGGAGAAGGAGTCTTGCTCTTGCTCAGGCTGGTCTCCAACTTATGAGCTTAAGCAATCTACTCACTTCAGCCTCCCAGAGTACTAGGATTATAGGAGTAAGCCACTGGAGTTGGCTTAAAATTTTAAAAATCAAAACATACACATTTTAAAGTATTTCATAGAGAACACTTAAACTCTAAGGCTTTACCTGTAGGTCTTAGCTGAAAACCACAGGTATAAATGTGATTTTCAAATTGAGTTGGGCCACTTCCTTAATGGGTATTTGTATGGGGCAACAGGCATTTCTGATAATCAAAAATGGGTGACTGGATGCGTCAGTGGGAGGGCTACTGTCACTTAGATAGCAGTGGCCAGGGATCCTAAGTGTGGGGGACACTCTTAACAGTTATCTCACCAAGATGCCCCATTAGCCTGTAAGCTTTATGAGAGAGTAACTAGCTCTATTCCACTCTGGCACTCTGAGAATAGCCAAGCCTGACTAGGTAAGAATAAGGAATGAGGAGAAAAGAGGTAGGATGACCACTGTGCAGGTATCATAGAAGCAAAGGTGAGAAGTGAAGTCTAAGTGAGGGTGGTTGCCGAGAAAGGGAAGCATCTGCAGAGTCATAACACGCAGACAGCTACTGACATCGAGAGGTGGGTAGGGCGTCTGGCTGAGGACAGAGGAAAACTCAGGTTGAGCTTGAAGTGTCTCAGCTTGGAGAAGAGGGAAATTACCCTGGAAACACTCTGAGGAGTCTGGTTCATACCAGATGGCCAAAATTTAAGCTGAAGAAGAGCATTGGTTTCTCTGAGAAGACCAGAAACAGGAAAATCCACTGTCCTTCCACTATTTTTCTGCTATTTGGTTTAAAATTGCAGAAAATTAAATTTCTTTGATTTTTCCTGTGCAACTGTATATAACTCAAGAGAATCAGGCAATGAATCTGAGAAGTTCCAGCATCAGTATCTAAAAAGAATTTTTGTCAAGATCTGCACAGACATCTCCCCCTGGTGGTCACAAGAACACAAGCTTTACTCGTTTTAGCTCCTGCTTTTGTCTTAATCTCTACATTGGCTCCTTATTCTGGCCCTTTAATTTTCTCTCTACAGCCTCCATGGTGATTTGATACTAGGAATTGTACTACCTAGTAGCACATCTCAGAAACATAAAAATACTAAATTGAAGTTGTGACCACGGCCATGAGGCATTGTGGTCTTAGGATTCCTTTGGTTAACAACCAATGGGGTTTGGGGCCCAACTATACAACGTCAGGGTCCATCATTCCAGATTCTGTTCTTCATCAGTGAAATAAAAGAATCGGACTAGATGACTGTTAAAGTTGCTTCCAACTCCCTGACATTCTGTCATTTCCAAAAGAAGCCCAAGGGAATATATGTTTTCAATAGATCCTTTGTTTTTAGCCTATCACAAAGTTAGTCATTAGTTGCCACAGGATAATCATTTTCAGATTCCTTTTGTTCTCCCAAAGGAATATATAAAAGAGGACTCTAATGAGAAGGATGCTTAAAATAGAGCCAACTAGCTTTTAAGAAATATGAGCATGGTATATGGATTCCTTCACTAAGGAACAAATTCTTATAATTTGTAAGATCTGCCAAACACGCATTTCTGCATTGAAAGACAGTTTGGAAAGCATCCCTTACCGTTCCACATATGCCTGGTCCAGATTGTTTAAGCCCATTGTGGGGCTTCTGAGTTGATTCTGCACAGACACAAGATCGCTGCTTTCCAGGGCCTGGTTTAGTAAAGCAACAGCAGACAACATTTCCACCGCAATCGCCAGCTCCTCGTGGGCCAAGTAGTTCTGTTGGAAAACATATGGCAACATAAGCTCCCCAAAAAACACACCTCACATGTATGATGGAGGTTCAGAATGCGTATTTCAAAAAACAATGAAAAGGCAAAGATCTTGACAGGCCAGCAGAAAAAGGGGGTCATTAGCCATCTGCTTTCTGCTGGCTTTAAAGAACAGGTAAATAGCTCCTGGGTTTTCCTTAGATGATCATTTTGGGGACTGCATTGGTTACAATCAACAGTTATGGCCCCATAAATATCTGCATACCCATAGCCGATCCCTATCTCCACTGACTGGCTGCTTAAAGGCTCAGTTCAGCTACATAATTAAGGCAAGAACTAGACAACATTGTCACTGACCAAGAATGCAAGGCAAGACTTCAGCACAGCTGACGATTTCTAGTTTGAATTAAGGGGAAAAAAATAAAGGAAAATGTCACTGAAATCTGAAGTAATCCTTTGGTAAAGCAAATTAAGAATCTCCAGATTTATATGATTTAAAATCTGGATTTGCTTTATCTAAAAGATACATCTTAGCTTTCAAAATACCCTTTCCCCTTCAATATTTTCTTCCAGTTAACCATTTTTCCATCTTGGTCCAACTTCAAAGGAATACTTTTTCAGCATATTGAGGAAACTTAAGAAGTATGAAAAAGAATTATTAAAAAAAAAAGAAAGGAAAAGATGAAAAAGCTGAAATACATCTTTACATTTAGGATATAATATGTTTAACATTTAATTCAGTATTCATATTAAAATGCATTATTATAACTTTCTGGATATCCACAAAAACCTAGCAATAAACTGATTTCAGAATAACAAAGGGTAATTTTACCTCCCAAAACAAATGGGAAGAAGGGGTTATCACAGACAGCAGGTAAATACATTTTATCCAAATATCCTACATTAACTACAAGTGTGACACAAGTGACGTATAAATGACAAGTAAAGAGTAGAAAGGAATTTTCTACAATTCACTTCTATCTCTTGTAGGGAACTGTCCACAAATATGTAAGGTGACATATACCAAAAAGGACAAGGAGAAAGAACTGGGGCAGGACAACCACAGGTCAGCTACAACTAGCTGGGGATGAAGGCCTGTCCCGGAGAGTAAGCAGTCTTGGGGGGTGTAGTCTCCCAAGGCTAGAAAAGTAGGAGAGAAGATGACTGAGAGAACCTAAATTCAAAGTAAGAACGACCTATTTTTCTTTCTTTTTTCCCCCTGGGGTTGAGTGCTCCCGCATCATAGCTCACAGCAACCTTAAACTCTTGGGCTCGAGTGATTTTCTTGCCTTAGCTTCCCAAGTAGCTGGGACTACAGGTGAGAAAAAAGATTTTGCTCTTGTTCAGGCTGATTTCCAACTCCTGAGCTAGGGCTATCCACCTACCTCAGCCTCCCAGAGTGCCAGGACTATGGGCATGAGCTATTGCACCTGGCCTATTTATTTCTATATAAGAAACATGAAAAGTCTCTATAAGAATGAAAAACAAATCTGATACTCCAGCCCTTTTGTATATATTCTTTTACATATCTTTAATTCACGCATATATTTACAGAGGTTTTGTTCTTTAGTTTTGACTGAATTTACTTTTATTTTCTTATTACAAAAAAACAAGATAAGGGTATATATTTCAGTTTCTTCCCATTTAATATTAGCGTGGATGTCTTTTCTGATCATGATTCTTTACATGGCCATATTTTTACTGGTTGCAGAGTATTTCTGGCACATGAAAGTACCATAAATTAAATACTCTTTATAATTTGTTATTAATTAAACATTAATTATACATGTGGTTTGCTTCCTGTTGCTCTGTATTTTAAACAATGCTGTGTAACAGCTTTGTGGCCAAAGCTATTTGATTCACATCCTTCAGGCTCATTGTCTAGAATGTAAGTGTTAGCACTGAGGGCCTTTAACACATATTACTAACACAGCCCTCCAGAAAGGCTGCACAATTAACATTCCCATCAGCTGTGCAAGAGATGCCTGCTGCCCCATATTTATGCCTACACTGAGTTAAATCTTTCTAATCTCTACCAATCTAATTTTTTTTTTAAAAAAACTATACTTTGTTTTACTTTACATTTATTCGTTTCCACTTGAGTCTGAACATTTTCTGTATTTGTCATTTATATGCTTCTGGTTTTGTGAATTGTCAGTTCTAGCTCCTGGCCTCTCTCTCTCTCTTTTTTTTTTTTTTTTTTTTTGCTGGTTCTGATTTTTAAGATCTAACGAACGTCCTATGTTTCTCTCTAGAACCTTAAATTTTAAAATAATTTTTTACATTTAACCATTTACTTTCTTTTTTTTTTTTTTTTGAGACGGAGCCTCAAGCTATCCCCCTGGGTAGAGTGCCATGACATCACGCTCACAGCAACCTCCAACTTCTGGGCTCAAGCGAGTCTCCTGCCTCAGCCTCCCAAGTAGCTGGGACTACAGGCGCCCGCCACAACGCCCGGCCATTTTTTGGTTGCAGCCATCATTGTTGTTTGGCGGGCCCAGGCTGGGGATCCGAACCCGCCACCTTAGGTGTATGTGGCTGGTGCCTTAGCCACTTGAGCCACAGGCGCCGAGCCAACCATTTACTTTCGAAATTTATTCTGGTAAGTGTAGTAAGTTTCTATTTTCTTAACAATGGCTAAACAATTGTAAAGATTTCATTGATTAAGCCAGTGGTTCTCAACCTTCCGAATGCCGATGTGTTTTCATTGTTACAAAGGGGTCTCGACTCACAGGTTGAGAACTGCTGGATTAAGCAATCCTTTCCCCACCTTTCTGAACCACTGGTTTGCCCATATACTGAATCTTGGCCCTGCTTCCAGTAGGGCCTTTCTTTGCATTCTGCTGTTTGGCTTATAGGAGGAGCAAGTAAACATGTGCCTAATTGCTATAACACGTGAAACTGCTATTTAATACTAATGGTACATGAAGGTACATTTAAGGTAAATTTTCAAAAACCAAAATCATGGTGCTTATGCTCTTATTTGCAGGTTTCTAAGAATGCAGATTGAGCTTATCTTTCTATATCAAAACAAAACATACTTTAAAAAATAAGTATAGCTAAAATATTATCCATATTCCTCAAAAATCACATAGAAAACAAGAACGATGTGTAAAATGTGTGGCCCACTTTCTGAATTTCCTAACTATGGACTTAGCTTTTTTTTGGAGACAGGGAATCATTCTATTGTCCAGTGTGGAATACAGTGGCATCACTGTAGCTCACTGGTACCTCAAACTCCTGGGCTCAAGCAATTCTCTGGCCTCGGCCTCCTGAGTACCTGGGACTACAGGTACCCACTACAACATGTGGCTAAATTTTCTAGTTTTAGTAGAAGTGGGTCTGTTTTTCAGGTTGGTCTCAAACTCCTGACCTCAAATGACCTGGAACCTTGGCCTCTCAGAGTGCTAGGATTAGAGGGGTGAGCCACTCTGCCCATCTTAAGCTTTTTTATGTAAACTAAAAGCAAAAGAGAGTAAGGAGGCCATGGCCTTGGCACAGGTGGGACTGGCTACCGGTATGAGTTAGAAACCCTACATCCCCACTACTCTCCTTTTGTAACCAGCCTTCACGTTTTTTGAGACAGAGCCTCAAGCTGTTCCCCTGGGTAAAGTGCCGTGGCACCACAGCTCACAGCAACCTCCAACTCCTGGGCTCAAGCAAGTCTCCTGCCTCAGCCTCCCAAGTAGCTGGGACCACAGGTGCCCGCAACAACACCCGGCTATTTTTTGGTTGCAGCCATCATTATTGTTTGGCGGGCCTGGGCTGGATTTGAACCCACCACCTTAGGTGTATATGGCTGGTGCCTTAGCCGCTTGAGCCACAGGCGCCGAGCCATAACCAGTCTTCCTTATTGCTTGACCCAGGGTGACCATGTCTCTGCCTGGAGTCTCCTCTGACTTACCGTGGCATTTTGTTTCTGGAGGTTGGAAAGTTCATTCTGATACATAGCAGCAGCAAAGGGATAAACAGCAGGCAGCTGGGCCTCCGGTCTCTTCAGAGCCAGCAGTGTGTTCTCAGGGTCGCCTTCCCGAAGGACAGCATTGATGTGCTCCACTGCAGCCTGCCCTGTGGGTGAAGGTTCACATTCCATCAGGACGCCTGCCTCTCACAGCTGCCTGACCCAACCCGCACTTCTTTCCCAGGATTTGAACCTAAGCAGTCACTTTCCATGAACTCCAAAAAGCTGCAAGCAGAGGCCAGGCAAAGCCTTGAAAATGGTATCTCTGGAATTTAAATCAGTTGGGTCCTTGGGGTTACTTCCTAAAAGAACTTCGGCATTGATGGAGCTTGAGTTAGGAGATCACTCCTACCTAGTGTGACTTCTCTACAAAGTCTTCCCTTTTGGGACCAGCGGTGGTCCCACCTCCGCCATGAAGCCTTCAAATTGTTCCCGTCCCTGAACTCCATGGCTACTCAAAGCAGGGCCATGCAGTGCTAGCAGGTTGTTACAGGGGCTCCCAATGTGTTAGTGCTGCCTCCTCCAGGAGACTTTCATGCCTACATGAAGACCAGAAGCCAGCCTTGCACTATTGCTATGACCCTCTTGCTGAATAAGCACCTGGGCAAACCCACAGCAGGCACTTGGATGATCTGCTGTAGTTGTAAGGTTCAGATTAAAAAGACCTCAATTTTGGTGACCAAACTGGGTGCTTGGAACAGAAGATTCAGCATAGTTTTCAGAGCACAGAAACTGAATTGCTAACCAAGTGGGAGAATGAGCAATGAACTCTGCCACCAGGCAAGAGCAAACCAGACAGAGCCTGCAGGGTCTTGCCCTGTAGAAGGCATCTGGGCAGTAGGAGTAACAGACTTAGATTTCTAGAGCTGCTTAAGGGTTAGTGCAGGCCCCCTCAAACATGCGACCCGGTAGGACATTTATCCGGCCCGCTGGGTGTTTTTGCTGCCGCTGCCTATCCCGCTTAGCAGCTGACTCGTCCCAGGGCCCACAGTCCAGCCTTCCAATGGTCTGAGGGACAGTGAACTGGCCCCCTGTTTAAAAAGTTTGAGGACCCCTGGGTTAGTGTATTCTGCTGCATGACTTGACTGCAGCTAAGACTATTCTAACTCTTTTTGACAAGGTGACAATTTTTCTTCTCTAAGTACATTCACAAGGAGCTTCTCGCAACCTTTTCTCTAAAAGACATCACTCAATAGCAGGAAATACAACTAATGGAGCCCATCAACTCATCCTCTAAGTGAGATGAGAAAACTCACACTTAATTAAAAGGACCCTGAGAGCCCAACCACTCCTTTTCTATCATTAAAATTAGTGTAACAAACTAAAGAGTTCCTGAAAGGATGGAGAGTATTTGATTGTAGTGTTTGTTGTTCTATAAAAATTATCCAAGGCTTTTCAGCTGCATCTCAGATTGCTCTGGGTAGGGTCTCACTTCACTTTTGATGACTTTATCATATGTGCTTATAAAACTGGACATTAAATATCACTACAAAATCATACCCTTAAAACTTTTAATAAACCATTTCTTCTAAAAAAAATAAGATAAATTCAATTGCTTTTTCACATTCTACTTTTAAGAAAATGTCTAGCCCTGATCTTAACAGAATACAAATTCTCACAATTAAGTTTCCAAACTCATCCTAGAAAACATGCTACATATTTCACTGCTGAGTATCACTATGGTCACCTTTGAAGTACTCACCTTGGGAAGTTAGGCACTGATACCAGCACCCAGTCCACCTTTCAAAGTAACTTCAGAATTCTTTTTCTGGAATGACCATCAGAGCTATCATAGTACAATACACAAAAACACGCAACAATATTGAAAACCATTCAGTAGGATATTGTCACGTGTCAACACGAGCCCAGCTGATATATCAAGGTTATGAGACTTTACTGAGTTGTTTGTACAGTGCTACCAACCTAGGGGCATGGTGGCAAGTTTGTGAAATTTATCGCCAGACCACCTATGATGACAATGACCATAGCTCTGAAAAAGAGTTATTCCAGAAAAAGAGTTCCAAAATTGCTTTGAAGGGTGGACTAGGTGCTAGTGTCACTGCATAGCTTCTCAAGGGGTGTACATCAAAGGGGACTGTAGTGAAGCAATGAGGTATGCAGCACTTTTTCTAGGATAAGCTTGTGAACTTAAATGTCAGACTTCAGGTATCATGCAATGAATGGAATACATGTTCTGAAAGCCTGCAAGTTGAAAGACTGCAGTTCAAACAAAGCTTAAGCCTCTGAAAATAAATCCATCAGTGTTATTGCCAAAGTGGTCACCATAGTGACCATCTATATAGTATGCCATTACTATATAGATGCCTTAATATTTTATTACAATAACCTACATGGTGGGGGGAAAGCTTGTCAAAGTAAGTAGTACTTTTACATATAGGGAATTTCAAGTGTGTAATTATTTCATTGTCAAGTCACCAACAAAAAATCCTTTAGAAGCTTTTTTCCCAAGACTACTTTTTAGTTCCACTGGACTATAAACTTAAGATGGGAAGAGTTAAAAAAGAAAAAAGCAAATGACTGCAGAATACTCATGTTCCTCACATTTAAAGCCATCAAATACTGCAATGCCATTCATCAGTTTCAGCTGGTTATGCCATTAGTGCAAATCATCCAAGGTCTTTTACTTTAAAACAGGGCAGAAAAGTATAGCCAATTTGGCACTAAATTTGTGGTCAGGAAATTATGGCATTGAGTAAAAAAAAAAAATTATGTAAGGCATTTTATTTAACATGAAAAATAAAACTGTTTTAGTGGTTATAAACATTTCACACATAAAGAATGGTAAAAGGCTACAGAATCATTTCCTCTCTGAGCTCATGGACCTCAGCTGTCTCACTGGCAATATTAATTTCTTCCTGTAATTCATTTCTGTCAAGCATAATGCAATTCTCAGCTTTCACACAGAGCAGAAAGAGAAACTTGAAAATTGCACCTCATGTATCATCAATAACATGTTCAAGATTTAATAGGAATAAAAGAACAGAAACACACATGCACCCCAAAGTGTTGCCTTTAAAAAGAAAGTCACCTGGGAACTCCTGGATGTGTGTGTTGTGTAAGGTAAATTCTCAAACACACTCAGTTGCCAGAGTCCACACATTCACATTATCCTGCTTGGGGTACCCTTGGTTATTGTTTCAGCACTGCAGGAAATCTCCCTCTAGCAACTTGGGACCAGACTTTTGAGTAACACCTATAGGTGTACATTTCTCTGATGGTGTTAAGAGCACTAAAGAATATTCAAAACTTACCTAGAAAGTTAAATTGAAGGCAAGGTTTAGAACTGTTGTAATTAATGGACATTCCAAGTTTTAATTCGACAGAGGGTTCATGTGCTTTATTAAATGGGCTAAATAAAAGTCTTTCACATATGAGTTTTTTGGTATAAATAGGTTCTTTATTTTCATTTTATTTTATTTATTTTTGAGACAGTCTCACTCTGTCAACTGGGTAGAGTGTCATGGCATCATAGCTCACAGTAACCTCAAACTCTTGGGCTTGAGCAATCCTCTTGCCTCAAGCTCCAAAACAGCTGAGAATATAAGTGTGTGCCACTACGCCTGGCTAGTTTTTGTATTTTTAGTAGAGGTGGGGTCTTACTCTAGTTCAGGCTGGTCTCGAACTCTTGAGCTCATGTAATCCACCCACCTCGGCCTCCCAGGGTGCTGCAATTACAGGCATGAGCTACTGCACCCGGCCAACATAGGTTCTTTAGATTGACCTAAGAAAAATAAAGGTCAAATAAAATTCCTGGAGCGCCCATAGCTTAGTGGGTAGGGTGCCGGCCACATACACGGAGGCTGGTAGGTTCAAAACCAGTCCAGGCCAGCTAAAAACAACAATGACAACTGCAACAAAAAAATAGCCATTCTGGTGGGTGTTTATAGTCCCAGCTACTTTGGAGGCTGAGGCAAAAGAATTGCTTGAGCCCCAGATTTTGCTGTGAGCTGTGACGCTACACCACAGCACTCTACTGAGGGTGACATAAAGAGATTTTGTCTCAAAAAAAAAAAAATAGTCTCAGTGCCTATGGCTCAAGTGGCTAAGGCGCCAGCCACAAACACTAGAGCTGGCGGGTTCAAATCCAGCCCAGGCCTGCCAAACAACGATGGCTGCAACCAAAAAATAGCTGGGCATTGTGGCAGGCGCCTGTAGTCCCAAGCTACTTGGGAGGCGGAGGCAGGAGAATCGCTTGGGAATCCCTTGGAGAGAGCCAAGGAGTTGGAGGCTGCTGTGAGCTGTGATGCCACAGCACTCTACGCAGAGCGACAGCTTGAGACTCTGTCTCCAAAAAAATATATAAATAAATAAATAAATAAATAAATAAAATTCCTTACTGACTCTTCTGATGATCAAGTACAAATTAATTTTACTACAGGGGAGAAAAGACTAATACAAAGATTGCTGTATCTAAACTTGCATAACTTAAATTTCATGACCCAAGTGTTCTGTTCCTTATAACCACACCCTGAACTAGGTATTAAGTAGAACTGAACTATTTGACTCCACAGAGTAGGTGGGACAAAAACTGGCCATCAAAGGACTTCATGTGGCCTATTAACAGTCCCACTCACTGGCACTGAAGATACACATGCTGTAAAAAAAGACCAATTCTTTTTTTTTTTTTTTTTTTTTGAGACAGAGCCTCAAGCTGTCCCCCTGGGTAGAGTGCCATGGCATTACAGCTCACAGCAACCTCCAACTCCTGGGCTCAAGTGAGTCTCCTGCCTCTGCCTCCCAAGTAGCTGGGACTACAGGTGCCCGCCACAACGCCCGGCTATTTTTTGGTTGCAGCCGTCATTGTTGTCTGGTGGGTCCAGGCTGGGGATTCGAACCCGCCACCTTAGGTGTACGTGGCTGGCGCCTTAGCCGGTTGAGCTATAGGCACCGAGCCAAAAAAGACCAACTCTTACCGCAGCAGAATGAGTGGGAAGGAATAGAGAGCAGTGGTGTCAGTAATACCTCTTACAATTCCAACAGAACACCATCACATAATCACGGCAGGGAAATGCAATCTTTCAGTCAATCTTTTACTACATGACCTTCAGCATTAACCCAAAAAGGGCCAGATTTAAAATATTTAGCGCTTTATTCTATGACGAAACAGACATGTAAAATCCAAAGAGCTTCAGGGTCCCTTGAGACACTTTGTGTGCACCAGGAGAAGGATCACCAAAGCAGCTCAGGGAAACTGGCAGATGTTGCAGAGTAATTAAGAACAACGCTGGCACTTAGTGGATTTTTCATTTTACAAGGCATTCCATTTTACAAGTACACAAATTGAGTGTTTTGCTGGAATCCTGGCAAGGAAAGCCTGCACCTTACAGAAACATCCATTTCCCTCACACAATCCATCACTTACTGTTGACTTTGTTAACGTTGCCTTGGATTTCTGCTTGTGTCAGCAGTTCTTCATATGCGTCCCTCTCTTCCTCTGAAATACAGCTATTCTGCAAAACAAAGTCTTCACTGATTCCTGAGGTTAAGGAAAATGGTTCCCAAGCTTGAAACTTAATGTAAAGATGCAAAGATAAAAACCACTCACTAATTTTCATCTGAACTCAGTATAAGCACTTGCAGAGTGCTCTGCACAGGGCGCGAGGGTGGAAATCTGCCAAGGACTACAGAAATCAACCACAGACCCACTCTCTGAAAAGGGCCAATGTTCTAATGTGGAAAATATTAGGTTAGACCACTTGGTACTGCCATTCACCATTTTTTGGTAGATACTGGCAATTTTAATTGATTTGATCTGATAAAATCAAGAACCCAAATAATGAATATACCTTATAGAACAGAATAGATTCTAGAGGAAAAGTATTACAAACATGTGTAATAAAAAGATTCATAATTAAGAAGAAAATTTTGAAAGAGATAATAATTGAGAAGGGCCTGAAGGATCATTGTAATGTGAAAGGCTGAGATGAGGGAACAGGACATAGATAGATTCTGGGCTACAGCATGGAGTGTGTGTCCAAGGTGAGTCAAAGACTGGCTGGTCAGCTGAAGGCCAAGCTAAGTGCTTAATTCAACAGAGATCAGAGGTGGCTTCCAGTGGAGTGACATTGGATCTGCAGTTAAAGGTCAATTTTACTAGCTCTGAGAAGGGTTGGAGACCCATGATGAAGGAGCCACAAGGGCCTGCAAAGGGGTCAGGGGGCAGAACAGAGACAAGAGTGGAGACAGTGCCAGGAAGTGTCCAACCTTTTCTTTCTCTGCTACACATGGGAAGAAGGAAGAGTTGTCTTGGGTCACACATTAAATACACAAATACTAATGAAAGCTGATTAGCAAAAAAAGGGTCCATAGATACTTTTCATGACATCTGACACCACAGGTGAACCAAAAAGTCCTCACAAACTCAGCATGTGGGCCACAGGCTTGATGACGGATTCAAGCCTGACAAAAAAAAAGGCAGCAGAATCTAGCCATGGATGGGACACAGGTGACACAAAAAGAGTTCTGAAACAAGGTGGTTGCCATCCCAAACCAGGGAAGAGAGCAAGGGATGCTCCTTCACCGTGGAGGCACAAGGCCTGCGGGACACAGGGGAGAGCTGGAGGAGGGGCAGAAAGGCAGGCACAAAAGGACGGCTGATCTCGTCAATCAGGAGATGATCTCCCTGGAGAGGGGAGCCAATGTCAGACCTTAAAGAATCGCCTATTGAGGGGCAGACACAGAGGAGAACCCTAGATGGAGGTAGAGGAGGCAGAGAATCTCAACACAGGGTAGGTGGGTGGGGGGCAACTTGCTGGATGGTGGGAAGCCACCACTGGAGAAAGGTCAAAAAATAAAGTGGTTCCTTTTAGTAAATAAAGTTGAAACTGACGAGCAAGAGCTTAACAAGAGAAAAGTTGGTGAGAAGCAGCAGCTCTGGTTTAGACCAAGTTTTCAATAATGGGCAGGTACATTGGTAAGTATGGAGTTATGGTCAGGAGTGGGCTGTCTGGCCAAGGAGGGACACCTTCAAATATGCGGAGTTAACTGTCGGAAAAATATGAAGACAGTAGATTCAAAAACATCCTCTCAGGCCCAGAGGGGCCTCCTAGCACTCTGGGAGGACGAGGTAGGTGGATTGTCTGAGTTTACAGGTTTGAAACCAGTCTGAGCCATAGTGAGACCTCACCTCCAAAAATAGTCAGGCTCAGCGGTTACAGCGCCAGCCACATACACTAAGGCTGGCAGGTTCGAAACAGGCCCAGGCCAGCTAAAACAATTACAACTGCAACAAAAAATAGCCAGGCATTGTGGCGGGCACCTGTAGTCCCAGGTACTTGGGAGGCTGAGGCAAGAGAATCTCTTGAACCCAACAGTTTGAGGTTGCTGTGAGCTGTGATGTCATGGCACTCTACCAAGGGTGACATAGTGAGACTCTCAGAACAAACAAACAAACAAAAATCCTCTCCAAACTTCGCCACACTGGATTATTAACCTTTGCTCATAAATATAAACATAAGTTGGCTAATAATACAAGGTCTGCTGATGATGCCTAACAAGGGCCAATGTTTAGCTGCTGCTTCTACACTTTTCTGGTAAGTAGTAAGTTTGCAATATGACCTTCAATCCTGCCAATCTATAATATTCACCATAAAAGAAAATCTTAATTTCTTTACCTAAGATATGGTCTTCTTTCACCCTTACATGTCACCCAAACAAACTGCCTATAGCTATAGAGACCAGAGCCAGTCAATTTAAAAACTTCACTTTGAATATTAAAGCTTTTCCAGGCTAGGTGTGGTGACTCACACCTGTATTCCCAGCACTTTGGGAGGCCAAGATGGGAGGCTCACTTGAGGCCAGGAGCTTGAGTTCGACCTGGGCAACAAAGTGAGATGCCTTCTGTACAAAAAAAAATAAGGCTTTTTTAAGTTAGTAGCTGAGAACCATCTTCGTGCCTGTATTTATTACTCAGAACCTGATTAAGTACCTTCAGTCTGGCATTTTCCTCTTTGTTCTTTTTGGCTTCCCAGAGTTCTGTCTGATATTCCTGTGCAAGGTCGTCATCCACTGAAGTTAAAACCGCATTGGGGTTTCTTAGTGTTACGATGGTCTGCTCTGCGATGCCTTTTTCAACAGCTTCATTAATGGCTATCACTGCAGCGTGTACTGAGAAGTACAGAGGGAGAAAGATTTTTATCAGAAAAAGACAATGGGAGCAGTCACATCCGTGGTTTTCAACCCGTGGGCTGCAAAAAACATTGAAAGACCATAAAGTAAATTATTTTCGAAAGAAGTTCAAAGCACAGTAAGTGCATTCTTTTCTTTACTCTTCTTTTAGATCAATTTGATTAATTTGAGTGTGCCATGGAAATTTAGCTCTAGATTCAAGTGTGTGATAAAAAAGGTTGAAAAACACCGAGTTACATGGACACTGCAGAAATGGAAGCAGTTTTACTTTCTTCCTTGGCTTCCAGTAAGTGTGTTTAAAAAAAAAAAAAAAAAGACCTTGTATATATTACGAAGCTCCTGACAACCTCTCCATATGCCTGTCTGTCTGCTGTCCTGGTCTCAGCCTCTGCTATGTAATCGGTGCTCATTTATTCCATTTGCACCAAGAGGCTAAAATGAACTAAGTAGTATGCTAACCAGTGGGGGCTTGAAAATCAGTCCTTTCCCTCTGGTCAGGGTTTTATATGTTTATAGGTCAGTAATATGTTGGTCCCAAGAGATACCTGCCATCTACCCTGCTTTATAGTATAAGAAATATATGTAGCGATGTATTCCACCACTAAAATCTAAAGACTTAGAAAAAGAGAGGACTATTTGGGATATAGATGTTTCTGGAACCTCTTAATTCACATCGCACAAGTAGATGTCTAAAAACCAAAATCACTTACTTGGTTACGTTCTGACATCGTCAAATTAACATCTATAACATAAACAATAACTCCTAGGATGCTTAGAGTATCTTCTAAATATATTCTTTGGAATCAAAATCAACAAATAAAGCATAGGTAAGTCCCATGTGTATGGCAAATCTGGATTTTGAGCAGACTTACATGCGGCTTCATCCACGGACAGTTCATTGGCCAGAATACCGCCTATTTTGCTGAAAGATGGCATCTGTATTCCGTATTTCTCAAGTTCTTTTCTCATATTACTGATTTCTTCCTCTAAAAAAGAACCACACACAAACATAAAATCAAAGAAAGCCACAGAGAAGAAGGCAGACATGAGTATATTTGCATACTCAGAAATGCCTTCATCAGGAAGATGGGTTGTTTCTATATAAAAGCCTCAGGAAGAACCCAGCCAGAGCTGCTCATTTCACAAACGCGTGAAAGAGACTCCAGTCAAGCACAAGCAAGATAGGTAAGTTTTCTTGTTAATTATAAAGAAAGGGAATCAATCAAAATGAAGAGGAACAGAGTATTGCTACATTCTTTTAGAAAATTAGATTGTCAAAAGGAAATACAAAGAGCGTACCTGTGAAGTCTACTTTGCCCAGTAAATCCTGGATCTGGGGCGCTATTCCTAGTTTGAACAGATATAAACTACAAGGTAAAGCACAAAATCATTAGATGCTTTATCATTATAAACCTTAAAATGATGAATTAAACAAATCTTAAGGGTTTTTTTTCAGTTGAGAAGGATCTAAAGTAGCTAATCTACTCATTTTATGGATGAGTCCTGGGGTAACATAGTTATGGAAAGGACCAGAACTCCTGTCTGAGTCCCAAAGACTGGTCTTCCTCAGGACATGACACTTTTATAGGATCAGCTAACTCGCCATCATCCATTTATAAGAAGAATAAGAAACACAGCTAATACGAAACAGGAGGTAACAACGACAAGAAATATTTCTTTGAATATTCCTCTCATGATCCTTATTTCGCTAAAAAGTACAGTTTTAATTATATCTTCCTTTTCAATATTCTTCTAAGTGCCACACATCCCTTGAAGAAATATTTGTTTTATATTTTCTCAACTAATAAATAGAGTGGCAAGATTATTGGTGGATGGGGGTGACATTAAACTATAGCCTGGGCTCGGCGCCTGTAGCTCAAGTGGTTAAGGTGCCAGCCACATACACCTAAGGTGGAAGGTTCGAATCCAGCCTGGGCCCACCAAAAATAACAATGACAGCTGCAACCAGAAAATAGCCGGGCCTTGTGGTGGGCGCCTGTGGTCCCAGCTACTTGGGAGGCTGAGGCAGGAGACTTGCTTGAGCCCAGGAGCTGGAGGTTGCTGTGAGCTGTGATGCCACAGCACTCTATGCAGGGTGACAGCTTGAGACTCTGTCTCAAAAAAAAAAAAAAAAAAAAAAAAAAAAACAACCAAAAAACTACAACCTGTGTGCCCCACCAAGCAGAAGATGGAGAATAAATTACATGTATTTAAAACAACTCCCTAAGACAGTAATGATGGTGTCTGTGAACCTACCCATAACATGAGAAAGGACTTGACAGCTGGCATCTGAAGTCTATCAAAAATAAATGATTATGAAAAAAAACCCCCAAAGGTAACAAATTAAAAAATAATAATAAATGATTATGTTCTTTGCCCACTTAACCACCGAATTAGTGTTTCTATCCCATATTTATCCTATCCTTTATAGCTCCAAGATTAATTCTAGCAACCAATTAAAACATTCCATATTCCCTTCCTTATAAATTTTGATAGTTTTACAAGACCTTAATTCTTAGTTGAAATTTCACAATAGTATGCATTAGAAAATGAACCGAGCATGATTTCAAAACTTGAAAGATGTTAAGATCATCATCACTTCAGGCGCTGAAGTGAGATGAAATCTCAGTGGTGTAGAAAAACATGCAGTTTAACTAAGACATGTTGACGAAGTTTAAGATCAAGCTTTCTTCATGGTATCAAAATAAGCTCTTAAAATATGATTAGTCAGTGTAAGTATCTTGCATTGAAATTGACTTTTTGGATCACTAAGTTCTACAAAATATAATTATTTAGAAAAGTAATATATGATCAAGAGATTTATGGCTTAGAAAATTATAAGGAAAATAATTACACTAAGTTAAACACTAAATATTTTGATATAAATCCTTTTAATGTTGCTTCTAGACTGATCTATTTATAGATCTAAAATAGACTGATCTATTTTATAAATGTATATTATTCTGGAATATAAATATTCGGGAAATTCTGGAAATTTCATAAATTAATGAGAATTTATAGTGTCACTATGTCAAATAATGCTTCAGTGAACCTACTTATATATACACACACATCTTTGTGCATATTTCTTATTTGTTACAATCCCTACTAACAAAATTTCCAGATAGAAAATGTGTATTGTCAAAAAAATTAAAAAAAAACCCCACCCCTTTCCTTCTGCGTGAGAACTTGAACTGTAGTTAACTTTCTAGCCGTTCCCCAGGCCCCTGGTAAAAGTATACTGTCAACTGTTATTAAGCATCACTGCTTAGAGAAAATAAGCCCTGATTAATAAATTGTATCTTGACTAACAGGAATCATAACTACCTCAGAGACACCATTATATTTGGGCCTTCCTGCGCTCAGGGACTCTTAAAATTGGCACATCCCTGGAAGAGCCTGGGAATCTCTGCAGTGGGGCTGTCAGAAGAGGTCTTGGCACCTGCAGGGATGGTGCTTCCAAGCCAGGGAGGTTCAAACCCACCAATTGAGTCCCACTCCTTAGCAGCAAGACTGTCACCTGTGGACCAAAGAGACTGGCTACTCGCTGGATGTGCGGACAGCCACGTGGAGTGTCATGGAGGCTTCTACTGAAGAGCAGAGGCCTGCCGTTCTGTTTCCTGCTGGCTTTCCTGGCTCTATCCTGAGCAAGGGGAAGCCCACGGTGGCTCATGACAGGGGTGTGACTCTGAATGCTTTGTTGAACCAAAGAATCCCCTGATGGGCATGGCCTACTCTACCAACAATATATGAGAATGCCATTTTCTTTGTTCCTTTATCATCACAGGATATTATCAATGAAAAATTTCCCAAGCCGAGAGCAACAAGAAGTAATTTAAGTCTGCATTTCCTTTTGTGAGCTGCATTTCCTTTTGTTATACTCATATTGGTCATTCGTGTTTCTTCCATGAAATGTCGAATAAGTTTTTGAATTTTGAGGACTTTTTTTGTGGGAAGAATTTATCTTTCTCTCACCCCCCTGCCCTGCCTTTTCCTTCAAAATCATACCAAAGGGCAAAGAACAAATGATAATTTTGTTAACCATATGGTGATGTGAATTTTAGTACCGAATTCTAATGTGATATTCATATCTTATCCACAGGAGAAAAACATATTAGACTTTAAACAATCTTCAATGTGAAACAGCCATTACGTATTTACAATTCAAAGCTAACAAGACAGGATACATTCCTTGGTTTATGTTCTAGGCCTTTAGAGATTATCAAGGATACAGAACTATTCACCTTACATAGCCTCTGAAGACTTTACTACCAAAAATTCATGCCAAACGAATTATAATTAGAACGAGTTCATGGAGCTACTGTGCTGACATTTTTAAAACTGCGATAGTCTATGAACCACTTTTCAACTCATTATGTGGTAAAAATACTCCCATTAGAGAGGACCTCAGATCACACGGAACAATGAAATGTCACTTCTTCATTTATTCCCTTCTAGTAACAGGGACCACAAATGAAACAGAATTTAATAGGTAAGGTAAAGCTACAAAAGAATTCTACGGGGGTGGGGGGATGGGGGGGAAACCAAGCTATCATTTAAGAAATGAGAACAGATAAGTGATCAAAATGTACCACTGTATCCCTTCAATTCCTCCCATGCCACCTAATTTGCATTTTCCTCCTCCCTTTGTACAAGTTCAAAAATATTCCTGAATTTATGAAGAAAATTATGAAGTGCATTGAAAGAAATTTTGAAAATGTGACAGTACAGCCTAAGGAGGAGACATCCCCAAAATGTCTTCCAACAACTTTTTAAACCTATTTTCAGTACGTTATGTGCTGTATCTGTAATACATATTATCTATAATAATGTCCAGCTAAAGTTTTTATTTTTAAATTTACATTTTTTAATCAGAGCCTAAGCTAATCAATATCTCCTATCCTTTACATAATTCTACTTGTCCAACTATGTAATGTTGAGACAATTTATGAACAGAATTTTAGATCCATGCTTTTGTTTTTATATTATGCACCAAGAATTTAGATAACTGCAAATTTTATTCATTTCTTTTCTAATTTCATCTACATCAAATTTTCTTCTTTCTTAATTTTATCTTTGGTCAACTACATAGTAGATGCTATGAGATCTAAATGCTGCTTAAGTATTTGTCAGATGGACGGAATGAATCATCAGTTGCACCTATTTTAATATTTTCATCTGCTCCTTGGGTGTCAGTTCCGTTCATCGACACTAAAGCCTCTCTTCTAGCGCTGGTTTCCTTCAGATGTCTGGCATCTCCTGATGTGGGACTCATCTGTTGGAGACCTACTGTTCCTCCACTGCTGACTGTGGGTTCCCCTGACAGGAGCCAGTAGTACGGAGGCTGTGGGGGAACAATGGGACTGCCACCAGGAGGGAGCCAGGTCTAGGTGGCTAAGACAGGGGCCGTGAGGTCCATGGCTGTCTCGGGTGCTGGCACACCTTCCTGCCATCAGCATGGATACCTGCTGTGTCAGGGAAGGGTCGGAAGGTCTGGTTGCTCCCAGCCTCTTGATTACTTGCTTGGAGGCTCTCCTTTTCCTTGCTGTCCGCTGCCTTTTGCTTAGAGAGCAGATCCCATGACAGCCCCCAGCTGTGCTGCATCCCGCAGGGTTTTGTGGGCTACCGATCCCCCCAGCCTGTCTCTCAGTCAGTCAAACCCATCTGCTTACTCTGTCTGGAGTCAGTCAAATTTCTGGTCAGTGGATGGCACTCTTTTTTACCACAAATGCCTTTAAAAAAAATTATTACTTTAGTGCTTTCATACAGTTTTGGAAAGGGGGAAGAGATGGCTGTGCTCAATAATCTTGGGGCAAGTGTTTTCACATTGTGTACTGTTTAATCTATTTATTCATTTAATTACTCTGATAGAATAGCAGCTGTGTAAGAAAAACTTTTCCTACCATGTGATCCCCGAACTAAGGGTTTAGGCCGTCACAAAACACCAGGCTTGTTGGTAACATGAACTAAAACATTTATATTAAACAAAAGGGTTAATTTTCCCCTTTGGCAATAAAGAAGTTAGGTAGCTATTTGAAATATACTTTATATTTCTCCATTGTACCCTGTAAGAGTAATATAAATCTCCCAATAAAACATTCTAGTTTAACTAAAAGTTGCCACAAGGTGGTGCTCAGAAGTTAGTTTTTTGGATGGAGGAATTTGCTTTTAACTTTATTTTAAATCTGGGATTTTCTTAAGCTGATAGGGATCAGGAAGAAATCTCATTTGCATATACCAAAAAAATCTTATTAAGAAATTTAAAAACAAAGTGTGATACTGTGGTTTCTCTTCACATCGTATAAATCATTTACTAAACACGTAATGTGTATTTTCTACTTGACTTCAATTTTCAATGTTTTTTATC